CCCTAACCAGCCCCAACAACCTGAATGGAAGTCTTTTAACGTAAGCTTTTATTATTTTCTGGGTAATATGGAAATTTTATAACCTTGGATTCTTTTGCATTGTCTGCTATGGTCATCTAGCTATAGCTAGGTTTTGCTTGTAATTTTAAAAATTTTGTTACACCTGATTGGTTTGTTTACCCAAGTATTTAATTTATGTCTGAATCCTGGATGAAGGCCACTTGATCTCTGTGAAGCGGAACAAACAAACCCAGATGTTACAGCCCTCGGGTATCAAGGTTCTCATGCTGGTGGTTTGACATTACCAAATCAAGGTTCTGTACCATCAATGCTTCCTACATCTGGTGTGAATTCTTCACTAGCTGGGTCTTCTGGTATGGTTCTTGGCCATAATTTGTCATCATCATCTGGTCCAATTGCTGCATCTGTCAGGTGTGTAATTTTTTTGCTGAAGACTTTTTCTGTGCAATTACATTCTGTGCATTAACAACATTTTATTTTAGTTCAACTAATGGATGCATTTGTTTCAGGAGTGCTAGATATGGGATTCCAAGAAATTCACCTTCATCAGTGGATGAGCAACAGAGAATACAATACAATCAAATGTTATCTGGAAGAAATATTCAGCAGAGCATGTCAGTTACAGGGACTCTTCCTGGAAGTGATCATGGTGTTCGCATGCTTCCTGGTGGAAATGGTATGGGCTTGATGGGTGGAATTAACAAAAGCATGGCAATGTCCAGGCCAGGGTTTCAAGGAATGGCATCACCGTCAATGCTTAATTCTGGAAGCATGCTTTCTTCTAGTATGGCTGGGATTCCAAGCCCTGTAAGTATGCACCCTGGAGTTGGTCCTGGACAAGGGAACTCAATGTTAAGACCTCACGAGACTCTACATATGATGAGGGTGAGAAGCATTATTATTCCATCTTTTGGGACTAAATTGATTCCATGGATAGTTTTATTCAGTTCATGTTTTTACTAGCTTATTATGCATTCACAAAAGCTAATAATCAAATTGCCAGAGAATTTAACTGGAAAGCCATTTTTTGTCTGAACATAGTGGAATACTGTAGGATTTAGAGAAAAAAGATAGAGAGAACTGTTTTTCTATTATTGATATTCTGAGCTCTTCAAGAGATGAGATCATATTATATATTTAAAGAAAGAGTACAGAAGAAGCTGATAGTTGTGCTGATGTGGCAAGAGCCAATCAGCTTACAAGAATACTAACAGATTTTCCAGCTAACTATGCTGACATTATAATAGTCACTCAGCTTAAAAACCAAGGGGAAAGAACTCTCCATTACTTTATTAAATACCAAAAGAAAAAATGTGCTTAGTTTGTATTTCACCTTGTGGCCATGAAACGTACTTCCCAACCAATTAGGCATCCTTGTTTTCACTATAATTGCAATGGCCTCACTTGAGCTTTGTTAGGAGATTAGTTTGTGTTAACATTTATGATCTTGCTTTATTTTAACTGATGACTTTTCCCCATTGCCATTAGCCTGGCCATAACCCAGAACATCAAAGACAAATGATGGTTCCAGAGCTTCAGATGCAAGTCACCCAAGGGAACAGTCAAGTTAATCCTGCTCTATGCGGGCTGAGCTCTGCCTTCAGCAATCAGACAACACCTGTTCAGCCTTACCCAGGACATGCCCAGCAGCCACACCAACTGTCTCAGCAGCAGTCCCATCTGAGTAATCCTCGTCCTCATCTTCAAGGTCCAAGTCATTCCACTAATTCACAGCAAGCCGCCTATGCTGTTCGGTTGGCGAAGGAAATGCAACTGCAGCAACGATATCTGCAGCACCAGCAGCAGCTTGCTGCATCAAATGTGTTGATGCCACATGTCCAGGCAAAGTCTCAACTTCCCATGTCATCATCACCATTGCAGAACAGTTCTCAGGTTCAACAACAAAATTCTTCTCAGCAATTACCTCTTTCACCTATAACGCCATCACCCCCTTTGACTCCCATGTCATCCCAGCTGCAACAGCAGAAACTTCACCAGACAAAACCTGGATTC